TCCCAGCATGCCTCAGGACAGAGAAGACCAGCGCCATTACCCTTTGTTTGGGACACCTTGGAGAACGACTGCTTTCCCACCATTACTGACCTGTGGGAACCACCGTAACCCATCCGCTTATCTGGCTTTGGCATCACAAAGGAAACTGACTTTATTGCTCTAAAGGACTAGGCACATCTACTTCAAAGGGTACCCATGGAAACGGCATTCCACAAGTGACCACATGGCTCTCGTTTGATGTAGAATAGGAAAATCTGCATACTGCCCCCTTGCCCCTTCTAGGACGTCATCCCCTATCCGACCTATAGCTTGGAAGTATAGGAGGAACAGAGGATTTTATGGCCCTTAGGACAACCTCCAGAAAGCAGCTCTTAAAAGGAGAAGACGCAGCCATTGCTCTCTCTCTTGCGCCATGGATCTCTTGCTCTTGCTTTTTGCCTGCTTGGTTGCTCTCGTTCCCGGGAATCATGATTCCAGGAACGCGCACGTGGTCTGGCTTATCCAGCCCGTGTGCCTGCAGAGCCACCCGCCTCTCCTTGGCTGCCTTTCTTGGAAAGAGGAAATTTCTCCTTTTCGTTGGATCTCAGATGAGTATGAGTTTCCCCCCCCTTTTAACCCACTCATTGTATAGCTTTGATATGTTATCCTCTATGCTTATTGCTTTCTGTAAACTGTGTAAACTAAGGATATATTGTGAGACTGATCAAATGCATCTATTTGGAGTGCTTTAGTATTGCTTAGTAAAGACAAACATTCATTCACAACCCTAGAGTGTGTTGTTCATTCCTGGAGATGGGCTTGCTTGTTCTGATTAAAATCTCTGTATACAAAGACCTACCCGACTCACCCGGAACTATTCTCAAAACAGAACAGTTTCGATAACAGGCCGGCTCGCTCATCGGCTCGGCTGCTTCGTGTTCTCCTGGTCCCTCGCGACGGCCCGGCTCAGATGCGACTGTATCCCACCCTCGTCGTCACTATTGTGTAGTGGGTTGCTGCATGGATGGACGACAGACAACGACGTGGTGCATAGCACGCTTTATTAGGCACACAACAAGACAGGGGACAAACGGCCGGCAGGCCCACTATATACACTCCAGGGACACACCCCTGGACCCCGTTGGTGGGTTTGAATTCCCCGCCATGGTGCCCATTGGTTCCCTGACAGAGGGACTAGGAGCCTAGTCCCTATTGTCCTTTGGAATCAAGCTCAGGTAGTTCGCTGGCCCCCGGTGGCGACCAGCATACACAACACTTTCCTCATAGGGAAAGTGTTCCAACCCTTTTATCATTCGAGTTGCCCTTTTCAACGTCTAACAACACACCACAAGCTGAGAAGGAAAATGTTACCCGAGAGTTTATTCAGCAAGCAGGCTTCCCTTTGTCTTTGAAAGATCTGGAGACTTCTAGTTTCATACAGTGCCAGATCTCTACAGAGCAGTTGTGCATTCAGAAGAAGAAAAGGAGGAGGAAGAAGAAGAAGAAGAAGAAGAGTTGGATTTCTACCCCCCACCCTTCACTCGGAATCTCAGAGCGGTTTACAATCTCTGCTCTGAGAGCCAGTGTGGTGTACTAGTTAAGAGAGGGGACTCTAATCTGGAGAACCGGGTTGATTCCCCACTCCTCCATATGCAGCCAACTGGGTGACCTTGGGTCAGTCACAAGTTCTGTCAGAGGCGTTCTCTCAAGAGCTGTTGTCTCAGAGTTCTCTCAGCCCCACCTACCTCACAGAAGAAGAAGAAGAGATTGGATTTATACCCCGCCCTTCACTTGGCGTCTCTGAGCGGCTTACAAACTCCTTTCCCTTCCCCTCCCCACAACAGACACCCTGTGAGGTAGGTGGGGCTGAGAGAACTCTGAGACAACAGCTCTTGAGAGAACGCCTCTGACAGAACTTGTGACTGACCCAAGGTCACCCAGTTGGCTGCATATGGAGGAGTGGGGAATCAACCCGGTTCTCCAGATTAGAGTCCCCTCTCTTAACTAGTACACCACACTGGCTCTCAGAGCAGACTAGGAAAAGCAGGGTTTCTTAGGTGATAGTGATAGCATAAAATCTGCCTCAATTCTTTCTCTGACCATGATATTAGATATGCAATATTTTTTTCTCACGTTTTCATGTGTTCCTTGCAGCCACATGACAAGTTTTTTGAAAAGAGAGGTCAGACTGGATCAGAAGAGGACCGCAGGGCTGCTGCCTCTCCTCTGAGCAGTTTTCTCATGAAAAAACCACGCTGGGGAGGAGTTATTTTACCATTTTTGCCATTCATGTGCACAGATAACGCCATATGAAGTAGCAAAATTGCATGAAAAAACAGCTTGGGGAGAGAAAGGAGCCCTCCTCCCTTCCTCCCCATAAGGCATTCTGAGCCCATTTGAGCTCTTTTTTATTAAAAAGAACTTTCCTGCAGCTGCTGTGTGGCTGTGAGGAACATGTGAGAATGCGAAAAAAGAGTTAACATATAGCGCCACGCTCAGAGAACGCTAACGGAACGCAGAGACTCTGGAACAGTGAACTGAATAAATCAGAGTAGCGTATTTGATGAAATCTAAACTGATGATGGAGGAATGGATCGGGAAAAAATAAGCTGCTTTAAGGATTGCTGTTGGGTCATGATTCGCTGAACCGGGGAACGGCACAGAGCTTATATCGTTGTGGGGACATTATCAGGCCCCATATAGGCTCTAAGCTGACGTCCGTCACTCCTTCTGGCAGCTTGAAGGTGAATGCTCTCAGCAGGCTGGTGAAGAAGGTGAAGAGCTCCATCCTCGCCATCTCTTTCCCCAGGCACATACGGGCTCCTGCGAAAGCAAATACAGCCAGCAAGTGAGTAATAGCTCTACATATTCTCCAGTGTGTCTCCATATTATTCAGCAGCTCATGTGAGCAAGAAATCGAGTCTCCTTGAAGATAGCCCAAATTCACAGCTCAGCTTACTAAGTTTGGACTTTGGCATTTACCTGCGCCAAAGATCAGAAGTTCTTCTCTGTCCACGAATTTCCCATCTTTGTCCAAAAAATGATTTGGGTTGAACTTCCGAGGGGTCTCCCATATCTTGGGATCAAAAAGAATTGAGTGTACATCTGGAATAACCATGGTACCCTGCAAGGAAGAATCAGTTTGATTTAGAGTTGATCCACAACAGCACTTTCCGCTTTTGTCGCTCACTGTTTCGGTGCTCATCCTCTTGGAGTTCCAAAGATCCTCCTGGAATTCAGAATTCACGTCAAGAATAACATAAGAAGAGCCCTGCTGGATCAGACCGGTGGTCTGTCTAGTCCAGGATCCTGTTTCACACATTGGCCAGCTAGTTGTCCTGGAGGGCAAACAGGGCATGTTGCCTCCTGGCACTGGCATTCAGAGACTCACTGCCTTTACTCGCTGTGGCTAATGGCCCTTGAAGGACCACATCAATTTGTCTAATCTAGTTTTAAAGCCATCCATGCTTTGGCCATCACTGCACCTACTGGCAGCGAATTCCACCTTTCTATCACTTGCTGTATAAGATGCATTTCCTGAATGAAATCTGAAGTTGTGCCTGTGAATCTATCAACGCACCCTCAAAGAGCCTGTGCAGTTTGGAAAATGAAAAGAAAAAACGTGTATGCTTGGCAGTGGGTATGAAGGTAAAACTGAAGCTGAAGCAATCTATCTTATGCAATCCTGGGAAATTGCTTTGGCAATACGTTCTTCTTGAAACCAGAGCAAAACTGAAAAGACATTACGCCTGACTTTATTTCAGAACTTGAATTTGGTATATAACCAATGCCTGTTTGTGAAATCAGAACTTCTCAGTGCAGGAGGTTGTTGATGAGTGCTGCTTCTGCTTTGTCATTAAAACATTGATGGGGAAA